CAGCAGTGCCACGTCAGCAGTGCCACGTCAGCAGTGCCACGTCAGCAGTGCCACGTCAGCAGTGCCACATCAGCAGTGCCACGTCAGCAGTGTCACGTCACAGTGCCAGATCAGCAGTGCCACATCAGCAGTGCCAGGTCACATTGCCACATCAGACATAGTGCCACGACAGCAGTGCCACGTCAGACACAGTGCCATGTCAGCAGTGCCACATCAGCAGTGCCACATAAGCAGCAGTGCCACGTCAGCAACATGACGGGCCTGCCAGGCCAACTGGCCAATGAGACCATTGCCGCCTACAAGCAGCGTTGCCTGGCTCAGATAGAGGCTGAGGAACAACGCCTGCTGGCAGTCAAGGCTGCCCGCGTACAGGCTGAAGAGGCAGCAGCAGCAGAGAAGCTGCGGCTACAGGCCGATGCAGACGCAGATTCCCAGGCTCGCCGCAAGGAAGCCCAGGATCTGCTACAGCGGCATGAAGCCACAAGCATCGACAGACTCAAGTTCTGGCTTTTTGAACCGAACGGCGACGAGGCAACACCGGTAGAGCAGCATAAGGAGTTCCTCTCCAAACTCGTGACACGGTTGCTGTATGCTTGCAACTACCAACGGTCAGAGTTGGAGAGACAGTACCAGGACCTAATGCAACAGCATCAGGAGTTGGCGATGCTCTGCCGCACAGTGCAGAGCCACGAGGATGCAACTCGGGCACTCAATGCCCGATTGCTAGACCTGGAACAGGCTGTACCAGGACCAACTGCTGGGGCTTCGAGCAGTGCACCCTCTAGCCGCCAACTGGAGGAACGCGTTGACCACATCCTGGCAATGCTCGGCGACATTAACACCTTCGCTGCGCCGTCCACCATCAGCACTCAGCTGCATACCTTGAAGACCGAGGTCCAACAGCTGCAGTTGACGAACGCAGATGGCAATCAGAAGATGCCAACTTTCCAACTGGAAAAGTTCGACGACTACACGCAGCAGGATCCGACCCTCTGGTGGGAGGCATTCACGACGCAACTCAGGATTCTGCCTGTCGCTAAGCACAAGTACATCGGCGCCCTGTTCCTGAACTCAAAGGGCGGATGCCAGACCTGGTTGACCCACCTGGCAACCTCCCCACGGCGTCGACGTACCGGACCTCAAGGACAAGATCACATGGGAAGAACTGACACGGCTGTGGAAGAAGCGGTTCATCGTCGACGACGCGCCAGCACTCGCCATCAACCGACTGTTCACCATGTCACAGGGTGACACAGCAACACGGGACTGGCTCACGAAGTGGCAGAAGATTGCGGCTGTGCCCAATCTGAACTTACCATTCGAGCATCTACGCCGTGAGTTCTACAACAGGTCCTGTGCTTCATTGAGCCAGGCTCTTGGTGATCACGAGCAGTACTCAACCTTCGCGGAGATCATTGACAAAGCGAGGGAGATCATCACGACCAACAGGTCAGCTGCACACGAGAAATCAACATCATGGCAGCCGACCTATGTGGAGAAGGTACGAACTGGTCCGCGACAGCAGCACTTCGCTGCAGTCCAGCAGGACAGT